CAAAATTTCGGGCTACATCATCACTGATCCTGATCGGGTCGGGTCCGGTCGTTTGTGTTGATGTCTGTCTGTTCCCCTGCCTTTCTGTCTACACCCGTTCTCTTGCTTCAGCGCGCGCGCACACATACACACGCGCGCGCTCTGTGTAGGTCTAGCTCTTCATCTATCGACCTATTTCGTTAGCATAGCAGTTCTTCCCTTCCTCTTGTTGCCTGTGTGAGTCGGTTTGAGAAAGTGGCCAACCGGATGCCGTTAGACCGGCGTCAGCTCTGATCGACTCTTGCTTTGATCTTACCGATTGTCATTCCTAATTCGGTGTTCGAGACTGCTTGTGTGTACCTTCTGTATATATAAATATATATATATATATATGCATACGTATGTTGACGTCAAGACAGCATATCCAGGACGCTGTAGAGTTACTCGCCTCTTACGCCTTGCACTCGTCCGTCCTCACGAGCGTACAATGTATCGCTTGTATTTGCAATTGCTCGCATCTAACAATGCACACACACTGTTTAATCCTAGTAGAAACACACACTCATACATACCAAATACACACTATGTGAGAGAGAGAGCGATGAAATGGAAGAGTATGAGACGCGTCAGATACATTGATGAAGACTGGCAGAAGAAGAACAGTCACATTACCTACCTCTCTATAAACTCCTCACTATTCTTTCGCTCTCTTGCTCTCTCTGTCTGTCTCCTGCCTTATGCGCTCATAAATCTGACTAAACCGATAGGATAATTTGCGGTTTCATCGAAAGTACTGATAATGATCCATCGATATCAACATAGCCTTCCATCTCGTGGTGATGAAGAAATGCACGGCAGAATGCTAGGCACAGGAGCACCGTCTTGATGTTCATTATTTGTCGTGTCAATAGGTGTGCGGGAACAGATACGAAAGCTTCCGAAATATACCAAGAGGTACTTACTGGCAGGCGATGACTGTGTGTATATGTGTGCGTGCGTGCGTGTTTGAGCGGAGCGGAACTCTCGGGGATGCAAAGTGGTTCTTTTGACTCTATCTATCACCTATCCATCCATTCCGAATGGGTGGTCTGTCTTCCACGTAGTTTCCAAAAATATGTACTGTCCTATTCTTACTGTTGATGATATGTCGGTTGTTCTTTTCAACCGCGTGCTCTGATCAAAGTTATTCTAAGGGAAATCTCGGTGATTGACATGTCGGCGAGTGGACAGGAGGTGAACTGCTGATTCGGACGAAACTGCAATAATGAGTCAATCCAGGGAAGAATACTGGTTTACGCGAGGTGACATTATCAGATTTAGGTTGTTGTGCCTAGAAATCTCCTCGGCACCACGTGAATTGAATGAGTGAACGACCCAACGAAAAGTGATGAGGATAGCTGATATGAACCTATAACCCGGACCACTTCTCAACACAAGTTGTTCATAATGAACATTGTGAAAACGGTGAGACAGACTACTAAAGTGACCACTTCTCCAGTATGGTGATGATGCTTTGTCGGATGAATCATCGAAGTAAACTACACAAACAATTATGCGTGTTTATTCGCTTCACTGATTGCTTTAATACAATTGGTAAAACCTTTCAAGAGATCTTAGTACCAGGAATGTGGTATACGAAGCCATTGGGATCCAATATATACATACATCAAATTCCATTGCCGTTGTATGAATTGGAGGATCGATTTTCGTTGAGAATCTCTCACTCACGAATGATCTTGACTGGTGTTGTCATTGTCATATCGATCACTATGTGTCACCTAACCCAACACGAAGTTGGTACTATTCAGTCAACCAAACAGACAGCCAGTCAGCGAGTCAATCAACCAATCATTCCATCAGCCACTCCCCAAGCCACACACAGAGAAACAAGAGGCTTTGGTGGTTGCTAGGACTGTGACGTTTCGAGAAGACTGCCATAATCCAATAGCGGAGACAGTACACGATGTTGAGCGATAGTGTAGTAGGAATAGGTGACAGAACGGCGCACCGCGCACATACGAGACCCTGAGAGAATCTATCTAGAACGGGAAAGAGAATGTTTGGACCCTTGCCGACGATCAGTTCCTGTACGAACCTGGATGCATCCTGGACATGTACGCAGTTGATTTTGTTGCTAATGGAAGTGACACCGACAACCGGCGTGCGCGCGTGCGCACGGACACACACATACAGGATGTATGATCACGCACACACGGTTACCCATACATTGGAGTGATAAACGGTTACACGCTCGTCTTATTCGGCACTAACCTGACGACAAGCGGTACACACTTTCGACGAATAGATTGACGACCGCGTGCGGTCTCGA